GCTGCAGGCGCGGCGCGCGGCGTGCAGCACGCAGCGCCCGATGTTCTCGTGGTGGCGGCCGGAGTACGAGTTGCGCACGCACCAGTCGAGCTGGCCGTGCACGGCGCGCAGCACCGAGTTGGACAGCAGGATGCCCGCCTCTGTACACACACTCACTACTCATACATACACATACATACACATACAGACTAGTTATATTTGCTACATAGTCGAGTACCGCAGTATCCGCCCCCCGCGCCCTCTGTCGTCCCTGAGTGTAGACAGTGCGGTGCTCCCCACCATGTCCATAGAGGAATGTAATATGAGACAGCCCTCCAAGATTATACGACTGAACTCAGTACATCTTGGTACGAAGTAAGATGACTACATATAGTGCATGAAATTATTTATAGAATGACATTAAAACTCACTATGTCTTATGTGATTTTTAATATTATTATTATCACATGTAATGTACAGTTATTGTGACAATATATAATTATATACATAATTATGTTTTTCAACTCAATAGATTAGAATAAAAATATAGGACGTAAAATACTCATTTACTTTTTTTTTTTTGTTAAAGTCAAGGATAACACAAAGAACACTTTATATTACGGTAATGCGGGGAAACCACTGGCCAAAACAAGTAATTAAAACATAGCTTACAAATCAGATGCTGAAAACCAGTATCGAAGCTTAACACAATACCACTGAGACATAATATGGAGTTTACTTCAAATGTTACTGTGGTTATAACGATTAGTTCTGCATCCACCTTCTACTTTGCTTACACCCTTCTCCCACAAGAAGTACCTATGTATGCAGGTCTGTTACTGCCACAACCTCCTTGGGTAACATTCCAAACACTGACTCTACTGACATCTAACCGACGTGACCTGTAAAATCTTGTATTACCTCGTGTGTTCATAAGTTTTGAGACAAACTTTTTGCTTATATAAATAAAATAAAAATTACTGGAATGTTAACTTTTAATATCTATGATTTTGGATTATTTTATTTAAATTTTCTCGTAATGGAGGGAACAAAAGAATTACGTGCGACCGTCATTTCATTATTTAAGGTGGGAAGAAAACCTATGGACATTTTCCGAGAACTGAAAAGTTTTGGTGTGAGCCGTAACTTCGTGTATTACACTATTAAACGATACCAGGAGACAAGTTCTTTACATGATCGGCAAAGACGTGTGTGAAGTGGTCGTCCACGCTCTGTGAGGACGCCTGCGAACATTAAAATCATCCGAGAGCGACTTCGCCGAAATCCATGTCGCACTCAGAAGAAACTCGCTCTGCAGACCAATATTTCGTGCGTTTCAGTCAACAGAATAATAAAATATGATCTCAAGGTTAAGGCGTATAGCCGTAGAAAAGTACACTTTTTAAACGATCGCCTTCGTCAATTGCGACGCGAACGTTGTCCAATACTGCTTAGGAGACACGATGCGAGGAAGATACTCTTCACCGACGAGAAAATCTTTACCGTCGAAGAAAAGTTCAATCGACAAAACAATAAAGTGTATGCCAAAAGTAGCAAGGATGTCCCACCTTCAGCACGGAATGTCTCGCGTACTCATCATCCGGCTAGTGTCATGGTATGGTGGGGAGTTTCGTACGAAGGTGTCACTCAGCTTCATTTCTGCCAACAAGGCGTCAAGGTGAAAGCCAAAAATTATCAAAGTGACATTCTAGAGACTGTTGTGAAACCCCTGTCTAATACCCTATTCCATAACAAGTATTGGGTTTTCCAGCAAGACTCGGCGCCATCCCATAAGGCTAAAACCACCCAAGCTTGGCTGAAGGAAAATGTGCCGGCCTTCATTGCGGCGAACGAATGGCCCTCCTCCAGCCCCGACCTCAACCCGCTGGATTATTCTCTATGGACCGAATTAGAGCTCAGAGCCTGCCGAAAGTCCCACCCAAACTTGGAGTCACTTAAGCGAGCTCTTGTCCGAGAAGCGAAGCGAATTCCTCTGGAAAAGATTCGTGCCGCCATTGATGACTGGCCAAATCGTCTAAGGGCATGTATTAAAAACAGGGGTGGTCATTTTGAATAATAATTATATTTAATTTTTACTTACTATCTACTTAATGTTTGTTATTGTTTTTATAAATATAAATTTATTATTTAAAAAGATATGCAACTTTTAATTTGTCTCAAAACTTATGAACACATGAGGTATATTCAATTTGAGATTTTATGCAGATGTCAAGCAACACTAATAAGTAATTGCAAACTATTTTTCCTGAATAAAACAAACTGTGCCTTCACTCAACAATATAGCTATTAATATCTACCTATATTGTTAACTACTTAGTTTGTAAAACTAATAAATAAAATATAACACACACAGTGTACAACAAACAAAAAAGTATAATTATATAAAAACATCCTCAGCTGTGTCATCTCTCAGTACTAATCAAGTAATCAATACCACTACATAGAGATCAAACTCGAAACAATACTCACAGGTCACTTACCCATGTGGTCATTTCAATGTGTCCAACAAGATTTAGTCTTGAAAAGGAAAAACATTGGAGTAATAAGTAGGTCACAACTCTCAGTACATACCTTACTGTAACTGTATCACACGGGGCAAACAAGACTGTACATGTCATACATCGCTACATCACCCTGCACTGGACTCAGTTACACATAAACAAACTGTACATTGACTACTCAACAACTCACCTAGTGAGCAGTAGTGGCTGTCATCCTCTGCTACAGTGCCCATGTAGATGTTTTCACTCACACTCAGCTGAGACACCAGCTCAGTCAGGCGATGGGCATTCACATACGCTGTATCAGAGACTAGGAAGAAGAAGTCATACTCTTCTAAATAGTTGTCGGCTAAATACTTGAGAGCATGAAATGGTTTCAGCATTTCCCTGGTGTCAGTGAAGCCTACCACATTAGCCATTCCGGGCACTGAGCTCACGGCACTGGCTGTAATGAAGAACTTCAGAGCGGGCTGTAGGCGCGCCGTGGTACGGTTCAGGGCGGCTATCTGACTCTTGAGAGCCTCTTCAGAGCTCAGCACTCCGGTGAGCAGAGATCCTGTGAATGCAAGTAAAGTTATCATGGGAGTGGTCAGACATCTGGCAGCGGAGGGCGCGCGACGTACCGCGCATGCCGAGCTCGGTGCTGTAGTAGCGCGGGCGCTGCACGGCGCGGCCGGCGGCGCGGCCGGCCGGGCCCAGCGGCCGCTCCTCGCGCTGCGGCTCGTAGTCCTGCATTCATTGATACTCGTAGTCGTCGGGCGCGGCCGCGGCGCCCAGCTCGGCCGCGCAGGCCGCGGCCGTCGGCTCGTCCAGAGGCACCAGCGCCAGCGACAGCCACAGCCCCAGCGCCAGCCCCACCAGGAAGTACGAGTTGTGCTTCACTTGCGACACCACGTAGCGCGACAACATTTTGTCGACTCGTCCACGTCCACGGTCACCGACCTCGCGCTACGCACTGGACTGTCTACCACACACCGCGCTCGTCCTCGGCCAGTCGTGGCTAGTCACGGTCGCTTCGTTAATTAATAAATCGTGTATACATTTATCAGCAATTAGTGCATTTAATCTCGAGGTCACATTTGTAGCAATTTATGTTTTAGTGTAAGTTACTATCGCAAAACCACAATCAGATGAGATCAGTCATCTATTTTATATGATATTTACTTAACATCTGTCACTAATGTCACTGTCAAGTCAAGTCAAGGGTATGTCAAGTCTAGTCTGAGTTTGACACATGTTTGTCACTGTCAGTTACTCTTATAACTCTATGGTTACGTAGCTGGTTGTTTCTTCTCACCTAAAATAAAATAGCAGTAGAGTAAGATACCACCTTTGTGTTTTAGTTAAGGTGTGCAAAACACATTTTACACCTACCTTAATAGATACCTTATTTATAATTTTGTGGCCATTAAGTTATATCATTATAATGACAGTCCCACTCTATCTAGGTGTAAAGTCCTCATCAATACAAATTAATCAAGCCCAAACACAAGGTAGTTAATATAAACCGCTGAGGAGTTCTCTCGACTGTCTGTCGGCTTCATCATCAGGTCGACTCCAGACCCTTATCAAATTGTAGTGTTTTTAAAATCCTAATTGAAAAATATAATAGACGAATTCGTCTCTTATATTTTTCGAGTAATGACTCGCCCCTAGAATTTTCTTGTTCTTCAAAATTCAGTTCACAAATGGCGGAGTACTGCGCGAACAAACAAAAAAAAAAAAAACAATCAGCCGAACATAGTACCTCCTCCTTTTTTTGAAGTCGGTAATAACAAATTTAATTGTGCGGCTCAATCAAGCTGTGGAAGCTACGCATTAAATATTAATTATGATTATAAACCTAGGTATATCTTCGCCATTTGAGGAAACTTGTTAGCTGATGACTGGTAATGGAATGCTTCTCAACAAACTGCGCTGTTTGCATAATGATCAGTAAAATATTTCCCCAGCTTCAACCCTGAAGAACATTTGTAGAACGACTGCCTGTGTTGTCAAAGCTATACGTTTCCACGTGTGTTTCACGCGGAGTGGCCGGCACGCGCGCGCGGCGCGCACTGCTCGAGTAGTCAACTTACCCAGCGCGTGCTCTGCATCGAGATGAGAATATTAGGTCGCAGGTCGCGCATGCGCGGCACGTATTACTCGCGAGTTGCGTACATTTCATAGTTCAATTTATGTTCGGGATAAACGTCTCATAGAAAAATTACCAACGCGCAACTAACATTTACCTGTTTCCTCATCTCACCTGTGCACGCTGGGAGACTAGGAACCACAGCGCGTGCTGATTGTTACAATATGTAGCTGCTACAATGACGAGTAGCTAACCATCAAACTCGATTGGCCAGCCAATAAAGCAGCCAAAACTAGGTACATAAATATCATTTCGGCAAATTATGAAGGTGCCTAAGAGCGCCTTAATATTTTTATTTTTAGATCTAAGTTTATTTGCTAAATGGCAATACATTTATTAATTAATAAAATAGACAATTCTTTTTTAAACATATTCACTTCTTGTGCACACTTATGGCTTTAAAAATAGATACGTTATGGTTAACCTTCCCGATATCCTATATGTATACAAACAATCACCTGCATCCCGGCAACACACCACTACTCCCGGCCATTGCTGCCTCTTATAAAGTTACAACAATTATTGTTTTCCCGGCAGTATGTTTTGTACTGTAATTATAATAGGTGCAGTCTGCAAGGTCGCCACTAGCAAGTTACCTCGTTAGATTTGAGGAACAGAATGCAGAACACGATCAGTAACAATGAAAATATATTTGTATTAATATTAATTATAATGATGTCTACGTAAAACTTAATCATTAATATTAATATATGTTTTGTTTGCAATTGACGATCAGTGAAACAATGCAATAAGTATCTACATAGAGCTGAGCTGAACGCACTGGAAACGAATTAAATGTGAATAAAAGAATTTAAAATTTTTGAATTTGCATTTTGAATCGGCAATACAAAAAACCTGCTGGCTTCCCAGCCCTGTCATAGTCATGCAGCTTGGGGTCGTAATGCTGAAGTGACTGGCCATGATGCCCGCCAGATGTGATCCAAGTGTGGGAGAGCCATGCTTTTCGGCTCGACCGGAGTGATACCACGGCCTCACAGAAAACTGACGCGAAGCAACGCTTGCGTTGTGTTTTGTCATGTGACTGAGGTTTGCGGAGGCCCAATTATCCGCCCCCCCCCGGCGCCTCTGGCGCCTCTAGCACCTCTCTCTAACGCCTCTGGTGTTCCAGGTGTCCATGAGCGACGCCGATTACTTACCATCAGGTGATCCAACTGCTCGTTTATCGTCTTATCCTATAAAAAAATGTGGATGGTAGTACGGTAAGATGTTGGAAGAACAACAAAGTGTTAGCGCGACTACACGGCGCGCGGCGGCGTGATCACGTCATCTCATGGTTTATTAGAAAGAGTGGCGCCGCAGAGTGCGCACAATTCACTCGGACGAGGAAGCACGCGGGTCGCGCCGCTCACTGGACCAGTAGAATTGTTCGTCAGTCGGTCGGTCCGTGTATTTAGAGTTGTTACCTGTGAGTACGAGGAGCTGACGATCGTGTGAAGAACATGACAGTGAAGGCGCTGGAGCACGCGACATCGGGCGCGGGGGCGAGTCGCGTGCGCGGGTACTTGCGCCAGGCACTGATGGTGGCGCTCAGTAAGTGCAGCCAGTGTGGCCTCACACTGACTTCCTCACAAGTGACAAGGACTGGTGGCGGCAGCGGCGTGCTCATGTACCGACACCAATATCGTAACATCGCTTTGTAAAAGTAGTGCAAGCGTCATGAAATATACACAGTTGTCGAACACGGGAAGACATCTTAATCTGAGTAGCAATTCTTAAGTTTTGTGAGATGTAGTTGCGGATGGTTGGCCGTCCTCATCGAGTACCCTCACTGACATAGCATTTATTTGACTGCAACGAGAACGAGTGTTAATTAAGTATATTTATTTATTTTTCTTTATTGGTTAAGTTTTAAAATCAAGCGGAAGGTGACAAATTGACAATGATGGTAGCTAGTCCACCAGTGGTTAATTAGTACTTAGGCACCCAGTCTGTAACATAGGCCGCGACTGGTTGTAGTTTGTAGTCGTGCGCAGCGGAGGTGTAACTGCTCGCGTCTTACTAAACTATGTAAACAGTGAGTAGTGCAGTAGTGCGGCCCCGGTCTGTGTGCCGATGGAGTGTGCAATGTATGCGGTGTTGCCTCACGCGGCGGGGACGCCAGGCCAGCGTGGCCGGCCAGTGGGACTCAAGTACACTCATTCATAAAAATAAAATGTTTTCCCTTTACCTTCTCAGCATGTATCCTTTCCTATTACTCTGTAGGTATATTGGCCTACATGGTTTTCCATGAATATTGTGTTCCAAACTAAGCAGAGTTGTGTACGCGGTCAGTACAACGTGTGTGAACAGTATTAAGTAGTTGCCGGTGGGTTGATGTGTGCGACGTGTGTTGCAGTCAACGTGCCGGCGGTGTCGTTCGGGCTGGCGGTGGGCTGGGTGTCGCTGGCGAGCGGCGAGTCCGGCGGTGGAGACGGCGCGGTGGACGAGACGCAGGCGGTGGTGGCGGCGGGCACCACGTACCTGGCGTCACTGGCGGGGGTGCCGCTGTGTGCGCGGGCGCTCGCCGCCGGCAGAAAGCCTGCTGTCATTGCCACCTCCGCTGCTTTTGTGGTAATTCTTTTGCATGTTAATGTTTTTCTCATCAATAACGAGTCCATTGTACTTGTTATAATAACTTAATTTATTGTGTATCCAGTTGTTATTGAATCCTCGCATATTGTGTTTCGTAGGCTTGCTGGTGTCTGAAGCTGTGTGGCGGCGGATGGTGGGTGGTGGCGGCGCGCGCCTGCGCCGGTGTGGGCGGCGCGGGCGCCTGGTGCCTAGCGCCGCTGCTGGCGCGCGAGGTATGTGCCGAGCAGGCGGGGGCGG